CAATATTTTGGAGTCGTGTGTCCAACCATCATTTTATTATAAAATGTCATAACTTTTTTTATTCATAATTAGATTCTTACAAAAATATTTCAAATTAAATCATTTTTATTAATCTTTCATACGACATTAATATTGTACATATAAATTTTAGAAAAATCTCATCTGATTTGTTTAAATTTTATCTAATACATGACTGGTAGATGTGAATTTTACTATTGTTTAACTCTGATATGATTTAATGTGATCTATTTTTTAATTAGAATTTTTAATTCTAATCTTATCTTTTTGTTTTTTTCTATATTTACCATACATTTGTCCCCTTTAACATTATTAGTACAAAAGGGTGATGCGATTATCAAGAAAAGAGAGTTTTTTTTATGATTGATATTGAACTAATAAAGTGAAAATAAAATAAGATTGATTTTGAACTACACAAATATTATCAAATTTGGTATGAGATATCTGTGAAACGGATCAAAAGAAAAAATGAGATCATTGTAGCAGGACAGACAAGTACATGTTTAATATCTCATCCGTTCTTTTATTGCAACGTTTTCATTTTCACGATTGTCAACACACAAATTTGACTAATATTATATTTGATTTTCTATTACTCACAGATTTAAAAATCAATATTTATTTTTTTTATTTACTCCTGGGGGGTCTGGAGGGGGGCCTAGAGTAATCAGGGCTGAAACTCACTTCATTGAGTTTTGAACTCTTATGTGCCTAGCGGGTTTCGAACTCGAGACCTCCCACTAGACACGATAATCTTACAACTAGCTGGACTGGAATGATTGGTCAAAATCAATTTTTAATATTTATATAAGAAGAATTTAACATTAATTCTAAAAAAAATTCTAATACATGAATAAATAAATTCTAGTCAATGTAGAAAATTTGAATAATTTAAAATTTAACATGTTACAATTAATTTAAAAAATAGAGATAGTAATAAATAGGATTATTAACTTTTCAAATGAGGTCAACTATATTATACAAAAAAATAAGTTTACTAAGAATTTATTGTAGTAAAATTGACTCCATGTCCATATATTACTCGTACGAGTATAATTTATTTAACAAAAAGGATAAAGAAAAACTTTGAGCATATAATTTAACAAAAAGGACAAAAAGAAAGGTATTAGACTATTAGTGCGCCGGCTAAACTTCTTGCGGCAAGAGGATAAATCTGTCCAACAGTGCAAAAAAAGAGGCGCGCCCAGTAACTTCGATGTTGCGCAAAGAAGGTCCGTACGAATTATATTATCAATTTTATTGTCAAGTTTTGCCCTAGCTGCAGCGAGGCATGCGGCCAACAAGAAAGAGCAGCAAGAGGGCGCAGCAATCCTGCATCTCATAAATTGATTTAGCCTTATCAAAGATTTGGGGAGAGCCTTTCACCGATTCAAATTATCTCATGGTGTATGCTGAGAGATTCTTGATAGAGGTATGATCCGTGTGGATTGTTCTTCTCTTCTGATTGTGTTGATTTTGTTCAATGGTGTTTCTTTCCCGGGCACTGGTGCTCCGGGGTGGTTTGTCTCTTTTGGTGTGTTGGCCAGCTTTGTTTGCAAGTCAAGGATTTCAGTCTGCCTTCTTTTATAGTGCGTAGACATTGACAGAGCTCGTCCATGAAGAGTTTTGTAGAACCACCTCCGTGCCATGAAGAGTTTTGTAGAAAGACTTTATTTCAATTTTATTTTTTCATTAGTAGTGTTTGTTTTTATTTTAGTTTGAGCAGGTTTGGTTTGAAAAGTTGGACTTGTGGACTACGTTTGATAGGCGGTATTTCAGTTCCGATTGTTTTAGGCTTTTAAATTGCCCGTTTCGTGTCTAGCGAATCAGGTTGCTTTGTATGAGGTGGATGATTCGATGTCTATTCCTTGGGCTCACAGTCCGAACTGTAATAACTGTCTACATGTTATCTTGGATTTCGTCTCGTTTTTAATATAAAAAGTCAATCCCTTTATATTAAAAAAACAGTTTCGTTAAGGTAATAATTATTTAGGGAACTAAAATTGAATAAAAAAACTCACCAAATTAATGTTTTTTCAAATAGAAAAAACTTACCAAATTAATGTTTTTTTGGAAGAATTCGGCTTATATTAATAACCAATATTTCAGAGTATGGGTCAAATGACAAAAAGAAATCTGAAAACTGTTATCCCTCGAACCAGACTCGAAATTAATCGCCGTAGCAATAAAATTTGTTGATCCATAACTTGGGAAACAAAAAGCCAAAAACAGTTACAATATTCCTCTCATCACCCATATCCAAATTCAACGTCTTACAAACTGGAAAAAAAATGACGAAACAAAACTCATAACAAAAGCAACAATTATTGAAGTAGCAAACAAAGCACAATAAAAAACACTCTTGTCGCAGCTAGAAAACTCGAACCATCCCTCTGACTTGCGACCTCCAACCTTCAACCAGCATCTTCGGCGGGCTTATGGAGCAAAGCCCGCCTCCTCCCCGTTTTTTGCCCCATCCATAGCCATGGTGTCCTCCACGTGCTCCTTCTCTGTCTGAGTCTCCCAGATCTTCCTCCTCTTAGAAACCTCTTCTTTTGGCTCCTCCCCTCCTTGTGTATAACTTTGGGCTGATTCAGTCATTGACACTTTCTCCTTTTCTCCTAGACCGCCACCCATTCTGCCAGAGCTCGATGAACCCTCAAAGAGCCAATTATGCCCTCCTGTTGGGCTAGTCTTCACCTCGCTACCTGCTCTAAGTTGGGATCCAAATCTTTTTTCTAAGACTAAGCCCTCTTCATAATTTAAGGGACATAAATTATCTGAATGTCCAATCAAACCACAGATAAAGCAAAAGTTGGGTAATCTTTCATATTTAAAATCTACCCAAAAACTTTTACCATCTTTTTTAAGATTTGTCCCTTTCTTCAGCGATTTATCCATCTTCATAAGAATCCTAACCCTCATATATGGCTTTAATCTACCCTTCTTCTGGTTATCATCATATTTAATAAATTCCCCTATGAAATTTCCCACACGCTTGGTAGTACCCAAATTAACAAGACTGTATGGAACATTATGAATTTAGACCCAAAACTCAGCCTCGTTTAAAATAATTTTGTGTGGGATATCATCAGGCATAACTTCTTTTAACATTACCAGACTACGTTCAAACTGCCAAGGACCTCCATCAAGCAAACACTTCATATCAAAACGATGATTAAATGAAAACATGTACCTTTTTTCACCGATTTCTTTCACCGACATACCTTTCCCCGGCCTCTAAAGCGTAAGCATCGTCTCTTTGAGATCCGGGAACTTGACCTTGCGGTCAGTCAACACCTGGCCGATCACTGGGAAACCGATCGTCGCCTCCTCCGCCGGACTACCTTCAATCTCCCCTTCATCGAGATTCAGCTCTTCTTCGTCGTCACTGATCGTCATCTCCTTGTTTGTAAATTGTAATTCATTCGGCTAAATTTATTTCAATGACATTTTTTTTCGTGTGTAGCAAAGAAGAAATACCAAGAAAAAAAGGAATTTTATCAATCCATGACCTAAAAGATTGGTCTAGTACTAATAACGAACCTAAAAAAATGTTCGATATTGGGTGGAAATAACTGTAAGTTGTCAATCCATCTAAGACCTAAAATATAGATAGTATATACATGATCGAGTTGATAAGTAAAAAAAAATCATGATCAACAACAATGACTTATAATTATGGTATTAAATATAGACTACTTTCATTAAATGTAAGAGTTATATTGAATTTAATTTAACAAATATTAACGTGAGGGGGCAAACAGTGAGAATAATAAAAACTCAGGGGTTAAGTAATTGATTTTCGAAAATGCAATGTTGCATTAGTAATTATGGCATAACCTCAGGGGGTTAATATCAATTTTCCCATAAAAAACTCCGTAACCTATACCATAGATCAGTTAATTAGTTGACACTCAACACCTACTAATATTAGATTTTCTTACCAAATAAATTATACCCAAACTTATGTTTTTAATCAATTCATTTTCATATGTTTTTTGTAATGGAGTCAAATATTCACTATTTTTGGTTTGAAAATATGATGAAATAAAGCAAATCGACTCACTAAATTATCTGTGTTTCTTTGTTATGAAACATGAGTCAGTCTATGCAATTTTGAACATGATTTTCACTACCGGTCATCCAAAAACTTCTCTTTGTGCTTTAGTACCGGAGTAAGAAGAGATATTACCCGAAATAGGACTAAAAGAGTCTGAAAATTCCAAAACATGACTGCCATGTTTTTATTCCCAAAATAGGACTTATTACTGCCATGTTTTGGCAGTATCAGACTTCAAACATGGCAGTATTTTCCAAACTTGACAGTAATTACTCCTATTTTGGGAATAAAAACATGACAGTCCTAGGATCAAAACGGCCAGTTATTAATGTGTACCTTCGATCCTATCTTACTTTAGGTGGGAACCTTTGCGCGACTGAATTAATGATAATGATGATGATTTCATTTTCGAGCCCGTTTGGTAGCACCAAAATCGGCTGTTTTGGCTGATTCTGCTGAAATTTATGATATTCTGGCTGGAGTGGCTGTTTTGGCTGATTCTGCTGATTTAAGAAAAAAATATTTTAAAAATATATTTTATTAATAAATTAAAGAAAAAATTATATGTAAAAATAGCTAAAATGGTCCTCTACAGTAACTTCAGCCAATACAGCCAGAAAAGTAACTCCAACCTTACTTTTTCGGCTTATTACACAATTCAGCGCGCGAAAGTAAAAGTTACGTGTTTGGTGAAAAAGCTGGCTGATAAGCCTGATAAGCCGAAAACAGAGTTCTCCAAACGGGCTCTTCATATTTTTTGCTAGTAGATTAAGCTGAATACATTCACCAGAGGGCAAAATGGGGTTCTTCAATTTGGAACTAAATCTCATCTCATATCAGCTACTAGACAAAAAATAATAATTAAGGTGGGGTAATGTAGTGTGTCACCTCTCATTGTATAAAACCAAACCGGGGCGCCACTCTCAACAGCCTTCACAATTATTATGCTTCCAATTCCATCACTTAATAAATTAATTAAAATTTAATCAAATTCAATTGTCCAGACTGCTAGACTCTTCTAATCTACTCCGAAATACAAAAAAATGCGTCTCTTGCCGGAAGAAGCTACCGAATACAGCGCTGGAATCCGGGGCTCGCCGGTGGCGCCGTCCACGGCGTCGCCGCAGTGCGTTCCGCGCAGCCGCTGCCCTTGGTGGCCTTACTCCACCTCCAGGGATTTCGAGACCAACGCCTCCCTCATCATCGTCGTTCTGTTCCTCGCGCTTATTTTCGCCCTCGGCTTCAGCGCCGCCGTCCGCTGCGTACTCCGCCGCCGTCGCCGCCGCCACTCTGCCTCACTCTCACTTTCAGGTAGAGGTAACGCCGGAAAGGAGACCAAAGCAGCTGGGGACGAGGAGGAAGGTGAGGTTTCATTTCCCACGGTGATATTCTCGTCGGCGGCGGAGGGCGGCGGAGCCTCGCCGGAAGAGTGTACGATTTGCTTGTCGGAATTTGTGGAGGGGGAGAGATTGAGAGTATTGGAGAAGTGCAAACATTGCTTCCATATCGAGTGCATCCAAAAATGGCTGAAAACCCATTCTTCCTGTCCAACTTGCAGGGCAAGCTATGAATGATGAGTTTTGATTGCCGGCGATCGAGTAGACGACGATGATTAGCTTTTACCGGACAAGAACCTTAGTTAGTTGTACTTTTTACGATTACTTCAGGTTAGTTGTCGTTAGTTAATCGTTCAAATTTTGGTCTTTTACAGTTTTACCGTCTTGTATTCCTTACAAAGTAATTCTAGTGAAAAACGGTGAATACAAGGTATTGGTATTTGGTAAGTTTTATGTCAATTCCATAATTTTCATAGTCCTACAAATTCCACTTTTGGTAAATGTATTCTAGTCAAAAAATTAATTCCACTTTTAGTCTTATAAATCGTATGTCAATTCCACATTTAGTCAATGTCTTTCGTTTTGTTCGCTTTTGATACTTGACTAATGTTTTTTGACCATTTGTGGTCTTCTCCGGCGTTTTCAATCACCGGAAACATGCTAGAAGTAACATATATGAGCGAAAATACAATAGTTATGTATCAAAATTCAAAAGTGGACAAAATGAAAGACGTGGACTGAATGTGAAATTTACATCAAACTCGTAGGATCAAAAGTGGAATTTATTCACAATTTATTGCTAAGTATATTCTCTAAATATGAGTAAGACTTATTTATAAAGTTTCTCACGGTAAAAAAACAAAAAAAAACAAAGTATCTCACAGTTCTTAGTTGTATGTTTAATTCAAAAGTATGTAAAAAAAACCTACACGTTTTGGCATTAGTTAGTCAATATATCAGTAAGAAACTATATCCATAAGATAGACAAAAATTGTCGTGAATATGAATACAAACATTTCAAAATTTCAAAATAGGATATTTATATTTTTATTCCCAAAATAAGAGTAATTTCTTCCAAATTTATAAAAACCTTAGCAGAAACTGTCATGTCTAAAGCCTGATAATGTCAAACTTGACAAAAATTATTCCTATTTAGGGAATATAACCATGACAGTCATATTTTAAAATTTTAATACCTTTTTACTCCTGTTTATGAAATTTTCCCTGAGATATAATATTAAACATGTATTCCATTTGTTTCCCTATCTAACTATCTTAGTCTTTGTTTTTTGTTTTTCGTATACTCCGTATTTCATTAAGTTTTTACATGCCATATTTGATGATATTTGAATGTCATATTTGATAGATATCTGAATGACTGCAATTTTTATTACTTAATTCACATTTCACCAAAGTTTAATGTTAACAAATTTTTTAACAATCTCACCACTCATTCTTATCCAAATTTTAAGATGACACAGGTAATATAACACTTTTCTTTTTAAATATTTTAGATTTGTTACTAAAAGCCTATTATAATTATTATTACTATTCTAGAGGCCCTATACAATAATCCGCTAATGTGATTGTTAGGTCCATTTGGACCCATTAGATTAGAAATGTAGCCTCCCCTTTTCTACACAGATCGAGAAGGATTTCCCTTCAAATGAGGAATCCTCTCCTCTTGTAACGTGTAACATGGTGAGACAAAATTATAAAATGAGAGTAGGTTTGGATTTAATCCTAAAAGTCATTGATTATCACTCTTTCCGGATTTTCATGTAAAAATAATGTGATTGTTAGGTCCATTATTTCGATTCATTAGATTAGAAGTATTAATGTACCCTCTCCTTTTGTACATAGATCGAGGAGGATTTCCCTTCAAATGAGGAATCCTCTCCTCTTGTGATGTGTAATATGGTGAGACAAAATTATAAAATGAGAGTAGATTTGGATTAATTACAAAATTATATTGTGTCGTGTGATTATCACTCTTCCCCGGTTTCCATGTATGAATAACGTGTTCTCATTATTATTGTTCTTGATCTATACCTATTATGGATTTAGACACTAAGCCCCCGTTTGGATAGTAGCAGTCTTAGCAATCCGCTGATTGTTTTGAATTGCAAAACGCTGCATTTTGCAGCGGTTAGGCAGCAATCCACTGAAAAACAAACGCGACCTAAATCTTGTTTGAATCAACCTGAGCAAGATCAAATATTTTTTTAATAGCCGTGTCGGTCAAACATACACTTATATTTTTAAATGAAAAAAAAACTCTGAAATATGATTGAATCCTATTTTGATGTAAAAAAAACCCGACCCGCAGTGACCCGCCCTAGCCCGAGACATTTGGGGCGGATCCGGCCCGCCCCGTCTTCCAAATGGGGCGGGTCCGCCCCGCATATACAATGGGGCGGGTCCAGGTATTAGTATTGACCCGTGCCGCCCCGACCCGCTCAATACATAAGCATACATACTTTTTCTTAAATTATACTACAAATATACTTCAACATACATATGTGTGTATACAATAAATCATAAATTCTTTGATCTTATAATATATAATATATTAATACATACGGAGTATATTAGAATGAGATGAACGACAGATTATCAATGTCTTCTTTACATATAGCATTTTAATGCATATGTTCAATTATTAATATAATTAAATCGATTAACTATTCAAGTCTGAGTAATTTTTCCTTAGTTTTTGAAGTTTTTAGGGTATCATGAATTTGATTTAATATATTAATTTTTAATTATTATTTAGAGATAAACTTTATGTAGATTCAATTGGTAACAACTTCTCACAAATAAAAATACATAATAGCTAATAAGGTTACGGTGGGGCGGGGCGGGGCGGACCCGCCCCGCATGGGCGCGGGTAATGGGTCACAAGTTTGGACCCGTGCAGGTCACGGGGCGGGGCGGGTTGTCACGGGGCGGGTCTGGGTCTTGCAGTACCCGCCCCGCCCGACCCATTGTCATGCCTATATTTTATACTCCGGAGTAAATGTGTGCGCTATATTGTAAGAGAATTTAAAATTTATGGAACATGTGAACTGAGCAGGATGAAGACAGTTCAGTTTTTTATAAATCGTTTTTTGGTGAATTGGCAACATCGTATTTAGCAAATTTCGTAGTATACCATTTAAGTGATTGCTTAAAAATAACATGGTCACATTAATTACTAATACATCGGTAATAGCACCTTGATCTATACGGCACTTCCTTTTCCCAATTTGTTTGTTTACATTTTTCCCTTTTTAGTCTCTTGTAAACTTTTATGGACAAGGTGAGATCATGTTTTGTTTGTACACGTTTGAGAACATTTATATTTGAAGCTAAAATAAATAGCAATTAAAATAACAATGGGAAACTTGTACCATGAAACCACGTGTTTGTACTCTTAGCATATACGATTGGTAAAAATGTTGTTAATTCATTAAATAGCAACACATTTTAAGTATTCTGTTCTTCGCAAAAAATGAACTTACGTGTCCAAATAATAGTGATAGCTCATCAAACGATCCAATCCAATCCACGTGATTAATAAATACATTGAAATAAATACATGGAAATTTTATGTGTTATAATCAAAGTGCCGTAATGCCTAGAAAATAACATTTAGGGGATGAACCCGACTTTTATCACTATCTGGTAGATGGCGAGTGAGAATTAATTCAAACATTTGCCGAGGTCATGTGCATTTTTACATCGCAATTGTCAGAATTTGAACTTTTTTGTGACAGCTCTATCCACTAGTTGGGCTAGAGAAAATAACATGAATAAATTCAAATTTAGGTCCTACGAGTTTGATGTCAATTCAACATCTAGTTCACGTCTTTGGATTTGTCCACTTTTGATACATGAGTATTGTGTTTTCGCTCTTATATGATCCTTCCGGCAATTTTCCAGTGATTAAAATCACCGGAGAAAGAGATCAAAAATCATTAGTCAAGTCTTAAAAGTGGACAAAGTGAAAGACGTGAGATAAATGTGAAATTGACATCAAACTCGTATGATCAAAAGTGAATTTATTCAAATAACATTTAGGTCTTAAACTCTTAATGGATAATTGATATCCAAATTCTAGAGAATAATTGACACCTCTATTCACCACGGACTCACGGAGTATGTAGTACGTAGTATTACCGACTCGGCGTGCAACTTATCGACCCTTAGCTAGAAGTCCGTTCATAGCCTTTAAATTTGTTAAGAGCTTTTTGTAGCATTTTTATTCTACAAGTATATATGAACCTTCAGAAATAATTTTAAATATGAGCTAGAATTCTGTGCTGAGTGTACTCTATTTAGAATTAAGTTACTAATTCGGTGTTACTCAACTTTGTGAAGTTGATATTGGATGTGAAATTAGAATAGTAAAAAAATTATATAGTTGAGGTTTGTGTATAAGAGAAAGTAATGAACAGAATCACAAATTTGTTGTTTTAAAAGAAAAGTAATGATGTTTTTTAGGATAAACGGAAAAAGAATGTTAACTAATTTCAATGACACGGAAGGAATATAATATAAGGCATGGTGCAAACTTAGTAGTTACATTATTATTACACTTCCAGACAAACATTATGACATAGTTAATCATAACACTGGACATGTGGGATATTTGTAAGGTGGTCTAAAGCATTTTTAATCACATGAACGTACTAAAGTACAAATTCACATACCATGGGGGAATACTCACACATTAACTCCACTTTCATTCTATTATGATTTGGACATGAACTTAGCTATGACAATCCTAAATGAAGGAGCAAGTCACATGCCCGAAATTTATCTCAGTTAAATATATTTGTATTTAACAAGAGACATTCCATATTCCATAATATCTCTTATTATAGAAAGTTTGCACAAGAAAACTAACTAGACTATACTTTGTACGTAGTATAAAATAAAGGGCCAATCTATCAACTTGACCATTTCTAAAAGAGTTGAATAACAAGTAGTCACAAGTGAACACGGCTAGAGCTTGGGCAATGTGATGAGAGTATAAGCAGCACGAGATCAGATAAGTTCGTTATACGGAACAAACTTCACATCGTAATTTCTAAATTTGGAAGGTGTCTTGAAGGATGTATTGGGTGGGGCCGAACAAGCTAGAGGTTAGTTACCCTTGACAATTCGACACTAACAAACGTTACTTTAGTTTCTTACCTCACCAAATATTACTTCATATCATTAGATTTTATCAATTAAGCATTAAATGAAAAAAAAATTGAAATTTGTATCGAAGAGAAAGAAACAAACAAAGAAATAATTACATAAATATGATCAAAATAAAGATGGTTTACAAAAATATGATTCATTACTAGAGTAGTAATGAAATCATAGTAATTTATGTTCAAGTTTTGAACTTTAGTTACCACAGCACTACGTTGTAATAATGAAGTCATATTTATGTAAATAAGTTTTATTTTAGTAATATTCTCGTAAAAACCCCATAAACAAAATCATAAATTAATTGTTTTAATGGGAAAATGACAATTGTTGAGAAAATCAAAAGAGAAAGTTGATAAACTCTAATGAGAGGCGTA